AGTCTGTTGCCTTAGATAGCTTGGGAATCCTGCTATAGTTATACTGATAATAAAATCTTCCACCTGAATCCTTTTTCTCTGCAGCTCCCCCATATTTCCTAAATAACTCTATGTTGCTTTTCTGATCAATTCTCCCCTTGTCCATATAGTTTATATGGATGGCCACATCCTCTTAGATGTAGTTCAACCATTGACCATGCCCTTTATCTTTGTAATCAAAGGCTTCACGGTTCAGATGCAAAGAGTTTAGGGTTATATTTTATTGTCCAACTCAGATTTTAGCTTCTCCACAATTGAACTGAAAATTAAAACTGTAGATCCTATAAACTGAATGACCTCTGAAGAAAGCTCAAAGTAAAATTAAATGACTACAGATACATGTCCCATTTTACGAGTTGTGTTTGTTTATACTAGGAATAAACTTTTTTAAATTGCATTTCACATATATTATTACTAAATGTTGCTTTGTCAAATATAACCCCAATAAAATACTCTGAGTTTTGTGGTTGAAAGGTGACAAAATGTGAAACATTTCAAGGGATAGCAATACTTAATGCAAGGCAGCGTATAATGCAAGTTCCAGACATCTATTGTAGGTTTTGAGAATTCTCACAGTAGGATTTGACCCCAATTATTGCAACTTCTGAAGCCACTACATTACTAGGGTCAAAGACTCTGGTTCAGTCGCTGGTTGCCGCTTCTTCATCCTTGGGTATTGGTTCCTTTTTGCTGCCCTGCTTGCTGCTGCGGTTCAGGCTTCCGTTCAAGAAATTATCTCCTGTCTGTAGCTGGAAGTGCTTTCTGGTGCTCACCAGGGAGGGGTTGTTGACCAGAGTGTACAGCAGCTGCCAGTGCATCCGAGCCCGTTTGGAGCTGGAGACTTTGTGCAATTTCTTCTCTTGCTGAACCAGCTGAATCCCTGTGGGGAGACAGACACAATGATAGCACCAACAAGACATCTATAACCATTAAAAAAATAACCTTTTAGATTCAAAGCTGAAATTAGGTACTGAATAGGCCACGGAGGACTTGAAATATACTATGGAAAGTGTAATAATAGATAGTAATCATTTTTTAATCCTCTGCCTGAGGGAGCATACTGGCTGAAAGCTTAAACCCCTTGGGCAGCATGAATATGTATCAGGCAATTAGTGCAGCTCATCTGTTTAATCAGCTGTTGAAGGAGTAATTTCTGCAATATAATAGATGATTCCAGATAGATGCATTGTTTTCTAGATGCAAACAAGCAACATGTCCACGGCATGTCAGTAATTAGACTCAGCTGCACCTACATTCCTCCGCAACTGATGAGTCCTGATGGCTTTTTCCTCTTCTTTCTCACTATGTGCGTGGGTGATCCCCGCTCACCTCCTGTTTGCAGCTGTGTTTATGATTATGGCTCAGCAGCAAAGCTCAAAGCAGCCCTACATGCTTTGGGTAATTAAAAGTATGGAATTGGTTTATCTAAATGAGAAAAACACAAGCTTCAGCAGTGATGATATTGTCTTGTAGGTGTTGGAAGCCCAGAGTAGTAAGGGGCCACTATTTTATTTATGGCAGATTTGATTGAGACCAACAGCAGAGCTGTAAATTATTCCTCAGTGAGACTCAATTTGTTCTGGCTAAATTAAATCAGAACTGTGAAGCTTTCGTCTTGGGTGTGCGTGCTAGACAGTTTTATGATCTGATTATGTGATACCATGACCCAATTTGAAACAAAATGAAAGGTCTTGCTTTCATCGTCGATATTAGGCTGGCATTTTTCATCTTTAACTGCACGTTAGTAATTTTCCCATTTAAAGTTCACCAATTAGAATTCTAGTAGCAACTTCACAGTTATGTTAGACGCATCTGTTTCCTCAGAATCATTACTGCTCATTAGGTTTCAGTCTCATCGTTCACACTGTTAGTTTATCACCACAATCAGCGGTGTTGTTTATCAGTAATCAGTTTCATGCACCTCAAGCTCCTTTTCAAACCATAGCTGGATAGAAATACATTGAAAATACGTAGCAAACAGAACATCACCGATCTGACCTTTAATACACAAAAGCTGCTGAGCTCTATGGCCCATGGAAATGTCTCTATTGAACTTTTTAGATTTAGAAACAAAACCCAATTTTTTTTCACTGACGGGCGTCTATAATCTACAAAGTATGGCGTCTGTATGTGTACAAAGTCTTGAACTACAAAAACCTGAATGTCATCAGTAAGATTTCTAAAAATATCAATCCATTGTCCACATCTGCTTTAACCCTTTAAAGCCTGATCCAAGAATAAAACAAAGCAGAAAATTACTTTTTTTTGGTTTGAAGTCCTTATTTGGCCTTTTAACAAAATATGTAAAAAGAAAAAACAGAAATACATTTTTGATATTAATAATTTATTACTATGCGATAAGTCAAGATTATTTTTTGTGAAGTCTTCTGCCCTCTGTTATGAGGTATATCTGATTGTGTACAATAGGATTTTGAGCAAAGTTTTTACCATTAAATTATGCAAAAGGTGTCAGACGCAAAACATTTCAGAAACCGTATGTATCAAATATGATACATTTGGCATTACAGGGTTAACAACGGCTTAGGGTGGTAGTGCCTATCTCTGTTTAAGGGTCTGGGTACATCCTGGACAGAATAACAGACCATCACAGGAAAACACAGACATCCTGGATAGGCAACCATGCACCAAACTTCTCATATCTAAAGCTACTTAAATAGCTCAATCAACCTAACAGTTCTGTTTTTGGACTGTGGAAGATGGCTGGAAAACCACAGCAACTATGCATGAATGCTTCATTTAGAAAGACCTTAGGCCAAGATTTAAACCCTGAACCAAATGAGCCACAGGGCAGCCCCTTCTTTTAATACTAATAATTTTATAGCTGCTTGCTTTTATAATAACCCATATTTAAAAATACACCTGAATGTGTTCAACTTTTAATAACAATGCAGCTTATTAAAAATAACATTTTATCTAGAATAACAATTTAATATTTGTACTTTTGTCTGAATCCTAATTGCTGTTTAAGATGATTTATTTCTTGCATTATCCTTCTGATTGGTAGATTACCCTCCTGAGACATCTTGTCTCCTTGTCCTTACTGGCACTAGGAGAGACATGAAAACAATCAGAACTACAAAACAGTTGGAGCAGCCTGACCAGCTTGAAAAGTTTTAGTTTTGACAAATGTTTTTTATCTGGATTATATGTCTGGTTTGATCTAAAACCCCTCTAACATTAGTATTTCTTATTTTACTATCATCATTACAAAATTTGGAATCAAAAGTGGTGAGGCTCCAGAAATGAAAAGCCGGTAACTGGAGCGACACAAACAGCTTGCCTCTTTCAGATTGACGTCTTAAAAGACAGGATCATTGTCCACAGACAGAGTTGAAGGTGCTTGATTACAGCAACCAAAACCCAGTAAAAAAATAAATAAATAAGTGCTCTCATTGCCTGCTCTATCATTACAGTTTTGCTAATTGCAACAAATGGATCAAATTCTGGGATGCAGAGCAGAGTAGCGCAGTGGGCAGCACTGCTGCCTTGTAGCAAGATGGTTGCCGGCCCTTCATGGAGTTTGAGTGTTCTCCCTGAGCATGCGTGGGTTCTCTCTGGGTACTCCGGCTTCCTCCCACAGTCCAAAAACATGACTGTAAGTTTAATTGGTTTCTCTAAATTCTCCTTAGGGGTGTGTGTGTGTGTGTAAATGCTTGCTTGTCCTGTTTGTCTCTGTGTTGCCCTGCGATAGACTGACGATCTTTCCAATGTGTACTCAGTCTCTCGCCTGTTGACAGCTGTAGATAAGCGCCAGCACCCCTCGTGACCCCAATTGAAATAAGTGTGATGGAAAATGGATGGATGGATTTAATTCTGCTTTTAATTTTCAAATAACTTATTTTTTGTCAGCAAAACTGCTCAAATAGATTATAGCTTGAGGATGTAAACCTAGTTTCTTTCATGTAAAACTGTAATATTTCCGTTAAAGTTAAAGATATTTAATCAGTATTTCAAGTGTTCAGTTTCATATCAAGAAATATTTTTCTTTCAGCTTTCATTATAGCTTTGAAGCAATAAATAATCCCAGAAATGTACAGAATCTCCTTGATTCTTTGAATTAATGATATAAATCATTCGACTGAGAAGTTAAAGAATTTATCTTTCAGACTAAACTTTGATAAAAAGTGACCTTAGTTTGGAAACTAATATACCTTTAGAGAGATATTAATAATGTAGTAATAAGCACTATGATAATCCTATGCTTGAATTAACTTTGAGTCATTGAGCACAAAAAAAAACAGTAAAATCTTGGCATAAGGAGAAGTGTTGCTGATATAAACAGAATGCAATGCTACAGACCCTCTTCAGCATCCCTCGCCGCCTGTACAGCTTTGTTCTCCTGGTCCAAAGACTGAAGCAGCATCCCGCAGAAGGCCTTCATCACAGGGTGAGACTGGCTTACCTCAATCTTCAGATAATGAGCATAGCAGCGGTAGGCTGTAGACAGAAACAGAGTGGGGGGGTGGGGGGTATTATTCTGACAGGGCAAAAGCAATAAGCGCACCAACCTACACCTCACGCTGGCTTTGAGGCAATCACACATAATGGCTGCTGAATCACACCTCTTTTTTCCCTGCACCTGCTTTTCCTCACAACAGATGTCTTAAATCTGCAGCCATTTTAGAGATTGGTGCCCAATTAGAGTCTGTGCGCTGCATAGAATACAGATATAATCCAATCTGCAGTGAGCTGACAGAACTGGAAAATGGATAGGATGCAAATGTTTAGCCTCTAAGTGGGATCACTGAATATCTTTCTTATTGGTTAAAATGCTGCATTGGAAATCTATGTGAAATAAAAAAAATGCATTAACAAGTAGTCTACGATGTGTGTTTGGGAACACTAAAGGCATGTAACCAGTTTTTGTGGAGCAGTTCCTGAGGTTGCACACTCCTGCAGTGGTGAATCTCTCCTCACACTCAATACGATTACATGAAAATAATTCATTATCCATCATTTAAGCGTAACACCCCCCAATTCTTGTGGACAGTTATGTTGAGTGAAGCTATCTCAAAAAACTCCCAGTTCTCAGAGACCAGCACTCGTTGTGAAACACAAAGAGCATGAAGTGAAAAATATCTACCAAGAATTGGGAGAAAATGATCAACCTGCTGCATCAAACCTGCTTCATTATCCTCATGCAGGAGTCAAAAACAGAGGTCAAATGGTTTAACTGTGTATTGCTCAACAAAGTTGAGGCACAAAAATGAAAGTTTGCTTTGTTGTCCTCTTGCAAAGAGGATAAAAGGGGAACTTTACAGGGAAAGGAATGCATTAACATTTCATATGACCATGAAGCTAAGCCCCCTTTTAAGTTGCTTTTGGGTATTTAAGCCAAACATGTGCATCTGTTTTCAGAATGAAGCTCCCATTGAAGAACAAACAGAGTCACGCTACATTGTTGGTCTGGAAAACTGCAAAGAATGTTTGACTCTCTGTCTGCTTCTTTGTATTGGTGGATAAGTGTCGTAATCATCTTGCTGGGTGAGTTGTTTTGTAGGTTTTAGGGAAGGGTTATCTTGCCTCTCCCTCGTTGTCTTGTAAATACTGAATTACTGTTTTTGGTTCTGCAGCCATTTATACTAACTAAATGTTTTGGTTTGACTGCGACGCTATCACCACCTTTCTACATTATACAGGATAACTGTCTTACCAGGGTCAAAAGCCTCCACATTGCGGTTAAGAAGGCTGATATCCATGCGTCCCATGTGGACAATATTGAACAGGGCTGTGATGATCATGCGCCAGACAGCAAGCAACACTCCAATCAAAACATTGACAGGAAACAGCAGATATGTCAGCAGGAAGAGATTACCCCTGTAAGATAGGTCAGAGTGCGTCAAACATGCAGAAAGTCATGCAGACTGGGTTCAATAACTGAAGTAAAATACCTGTTGTTTAAGTCTCGAGTGCCTGCTGTTTTCTCGATGAAGCAAAACCTTGCAGTGATGTGTTGAAGCACCACAGCTAGGAGAATCATCAACCAGAAAGGCCTGCAAGGACCAGATCAACATTTAGTCGTTTCCTGTTTTCAGAATGATTTGCAAACTGATTTGTAGCTGACAGGAAATGTTTTGAATCCAATTATCTCTGTGCATTCTACACGGAGGATTTTGTAAAATGAAAATAGTTTCAGGTTTCTGAGTGTCAAACTAAAAAATAAATAAAAGGGTCATTTTAAAGTTGTGTTAAGGAAGTCTGTATTCACTGCTTAGAACTAAAGGAGTGCTTTGTGAGCTGCAAATGCTAAAAACATGCCAAAAAATGACTGTGAGTTAAAAAAAAAATGACTTGAAGATGCTCACCACATGCTTAACAGGATCTGGAAAAGAATCAGATTCTGTCTGTACAAAATGGGTATGATGATGAGGAAGACTGCGATCATGAGGCAGAGGAAGAACACTAAAGTCTGGATGATCATACCTGTATGAATCAAAAGGTTAAAATATTTCAGAATCTCACTTCTTCCACTTTTATTTACAACAATGGGTAATTCAAAGACAACAAAGCAAAAAGGCTATAAGCCTAATTATGTCTGCATGAGTAATGTCATGGTTTAAATGTACCAATGCAAATGTGAGCGGCTGTGAAGCTGGTGTAACCCATCCAGCAGACCAAAGCTGGCCTAGATGCCCTGATGCTTCGCTGGCAGTTGTAAACATTGTAAATATCTCCTCGGTACAGCCCCTTCAGATTAGACCTAAAATGGAGAAAAACAATCAAGAAATGTAATGTTGTGCAAAACATAATGCTGATTACAGAATTTAATATGAAAGAGGTCTTTTTCAAAGGATGCCACTGAAATCCAATTCTATGCTCGACTTACAAACCCATTTCTTTTTATATGATTTCCCTTATGGCTATGAGAGCCTTTTATTTCCCTATCTTAGCTGCTGTTTTTAGTTCCCTATTTTGCTAGAAAGATATAAAAGGATCATGACTGAACCTAGATGAAAAAGACAACACTGGAAAAAATTTTTACCTCTTTGATTCGTTTTTTTTTCTTATAATTGGCTTTTTTCTTGTTTTGCTGAGGTGGTAGAGGCGTTTTTTTGCTAGTGGAAGACGATTTTTTCTTCTTATAATAAGACTGTTTTGTTTTCTTCTTCGTGGTTCTTATTTTCTTATTTTCTTTTTTTAGTAGTAATAGTAGTTCTTTTGTGGAACTCTCTCTTTTTTCTGTTCTGATTTTGGGTGTAACACTTCTTTTTTTTTTTTTTTTTTTCGGTATATCTAGATAGTTTTTCCAGTGAACAGCAAACTTTGACCCCCCTCCGCAGCAAAACAAAAAAAAAGAAAGAAGGAAAGCAAGTGTTTAATTGTGCTCTCTGACCTACCGATGCAAAACCATCGACCGCATTAGCAGAACCAAGTTCACCAAACAAGACAGCGTCATCGCTGAGATGTAGCAGACTGCGGGAAAATGAGCATGCTCAAAGTTAAAAAAGTCATCAAACTATTCAGTTTAAAAAGATAATTAAAAGTATGAATCTGCTTGGTGAAATATCACCGCTCTCACATACCTTCCACACACCACATGTAGTAAACAACAATTCTGACAACCTCCTTTCTGTCTGGAGACAGAATAATTTGGAAGCCAGCTAAAACATTTGCAATATCTTCATCGACACCGAAGCGGGCTTTCTGCATTGTTGGCACCACAGCAGATATTAATACAAGACCCATCTGAAGGAAGAGAAAAGAAAACATGTTTCTGTACTGTGAAATACTGCATTGTTTTACTCCATTTCCAAGATCTAAGTCACTCAGCTCTCATTATTTTATAATGTATTTTCATGACAGTAATAGTAATAACAACCCAACGCAAGAGGTTATAGTTTGTATTTAGCTGAACATATAGACAGCGGAAATATAACTATATTATTTTAATATATGCAGAACTGTGATATTTACCTGATACAGAGTAATAAAACATACTACACAAGATATTGTCAACTTCAGTGGGAAACGGAAAGCTGTTTGAAAAAAAAAAAAGTATTATGAAACATTCAAATATTTCTCAACGTCTGAGTGTAGAAAACAGTTAAGATAAAGACCACATTTACCTTCCTCTGGTGTATAAATATAAGATTTCACAGCATCGATTATCCGCTGTGTTAGTTTTGGTCTGTCTGTGCTTGATGTGCTAACATTAGAAAGAGAATACAGTTATACACATGAGCTGTAATTAATGCAACACTGGATACGGACAACATTTTATTCTTACCTGACTTTGCTGGGCTTCTTCTCAAAAAGAATTTTCTTTACATAGTCTCTATAATAGCTGCTACTGAGATCCTGAAGGAAGAGAAAGGGGAAACACTGTGAAACTGGACAATTTTTAAAATGCTAATTAGGCTGAAAGCTACCAAATATATGGGGCTAGAAGAGTTTCAATATTCACAAACTCATATATGTGATTTACAAAATCACAGCACAATCCATACATGCTAAAGACAATACATACATGCATAGACAAGACATACACATGCACAGGACAGGGTCCACATATGCACAGCACAATCCATACATGCATAGGACAGATTTAAACATTCACAGGACAGGGTCCACACATACACAGGACAAGATCCACACATGCACAGGACAATCTGCTCATGCACAGGAAACGATCCACACATGCACAGGACAATCTGCACATGTACTGAAAAAGAACCACACATGCACAGGACTGGGTCCACATAGGCACAGCGCAGGGTCCACACATGCACAGGACAAGATCTACACATCCACAGGACAATCTGCTCATGCACTGAATAAGATCCACAAATGCACAGGACAATCCATACATGCACAGGAGAAGACTTAAACTTGGAAAGGACAGGGTCCACACAAGCGCCGGACAAGATCCACACATGCATTTAATGATTCAAACAACCGTAAGCAATTTACACATTCAGAGGACAAGATTCATTAAAGTATTTATGATGTATTATATTATTTTATAAACTACCAGTGGTCTTTGAACTTGACTGCATTTGTGTGAGGACTTCTAAAAGTCATCTGACGTGACTCCATCCACAAATTCATTTTTTAAGAGAACTAGTTGATTAATCAAGATATAATAGGGTATACATCACAAATAGTTTTGTGGATCTTGTCTTGAATATGTACATTTTGTGTGCTTGTTTGAATCATTGAGTGCATGTGTGGATTTTATGCTTTGCATCTGTGGATAAGATATGTGAATGTAAGCATGCTGAGACTTTTCTAGCTCAATTTCGTTGTTCACAAAGAAATTTTGGTTGGTAACAAAAAGCCCAAGTGAGAAAATATGCTCCAGATCACTCTGTACACATGTCATATGTGAGCTTGTAAATGTAATTTTAGACCTGTAAATTGTGTAGCTTGCAGAATTCCTTAATATTCCCAATGTTTTGTGAAGAGGAGATAAAAAAAAATGACAAAAAATCCCAAATTTATCTAGCATTCATTATAACCGTCAGACACCATAACTACAGCTGTGGTAAAAAAAAATAAATACATAAAAAAAATAATAATAATAAAGATAATCTCTGGACTTCAGTCAGTTACAGCTGGTATAATAATCAAGTGCTGTTTTTATTTTAACTAAATTACACCTAATTTTAAATATTTTAAAAATTCCAATGCAGCTCATATATAGGCCTGACACATTGGAGACATTCAAATTCCTTTATGCCCTTTTTGTAATTTGTAAAATATAAACAGAATGCAATCCTTTTGTCATTTGTAAAAATTATGAAAAAACAAAACCTTAATCTGATAAGATTAATGGGATCCATTTATGTGCATGAATTTGCCACAAATTTGGTGGAAGCAATGTAAAAACCCAGCCAATCCCCTCACTGAGCTCTGTTACCGCCATGCAAAGATTAGTATATAAAAACAGCATTGTGTTTTCCACCCGACAAAAAAAAAAAGCAAAGCAACAAACAAAACAAAAAAAAACATGGCAACCTTTTCATAATCTGATCAAGAACATAATATTAACCAATCACGTCAAACCTGCTTAAAATGATTATGCCACTGCTGTACTGTGAGGAGCTCATATTTTCAGTAAGCCTTGGCTGAATGAGCCCGGTAAGCTCCTTGGTTAGCAGGCACCATAAACCCTCCTCACGTGCACAGATTTAGAATTAACATGCCTTTTATGAAATCATTTAAATGCCCAACTTAGAAGAGCACAGGGGTAATGATAAAGCTAAACCATAGTGAAACTGACCTAAGATAGGAGATACTCCCTGGCAAAAGCTCACCTCGGTAGTGTTGGTCCTTTCAGCACCATTGAAGCCCTTGAATAGAAGCAGGGGATACTGGAAACTGAGGAATGCTAAGCAGCATATCTGAGGCAGGCTGGAAAAGAGGGAGTAGTGCTTGTGTATCTGCAGAGCAATATAAAAAAAAAAACACTTTAGATTACTTTATACAGTTATCTTTTCCCTCTGCATAAGCTGAATGGGATCCTGAATGTTAGTCAATTTAAATATTTGCTAGCCTTTTTTTTGCTTCATTGTGTATCACAATAAATCATCAGTTAAAATAAACCTAAATACATTCATTTTGAGGTCAGTTAGGAAACCAAAGAACCCACACGACGTTATGCAGGACGGACATCGTAAAAGGATCAATTAGGCATCTTTTTTCTTTAACTGACACGCTCTAAAGCGATTAAAACCAACAAAACACTTTGATTTAAACAGGATGACACTGAAACTAATTGTTTGGACAGAGAACCATTCAGTGCACAAAATCACCCTAAAATTTTTGAACAGAATGAGGATTTGTGCGACATTTAAAGCCTCACAGAAAACGTCAGTGAATCTTTCAGGATGGCTTAGTATTCATCTTTTCCAACTTTATTTGCCTACTGTCCAGTTCTTTTTGGTACTCAGTGGGTTTCCTGAGCAGGACAGGGCTTCTTTGTTTTTGAGATAATCCTTTTTACACCAATAGACATCCCACACAGAAAGATTGTTGGAAAAAACACACCCACACACAGTTAGCTTTTCTTGCTATGGCACAAATACTGTTCAAAGAATGAGGCCAGTAATATTCAAAGAAAAAAAAAAAAAGAATCTTACTCACCAAAGGTGTTTTGGGACAGTCAATTTTTTGCCACACCAAAACACTAAAGTGTGTCCATGATAAGAAGCTGCCAAGAACATAGCCAACTTTATTATGTAAAGTGCCACATGCCAGGAGAGGGTAGTATAGAGCGGGGTAGTAGAAGACTCCCAGGATCACCCAGTTCTCTGTAAATACAACACCGCCGTGTGAAACATCCTAAGGTGTGATGACATTTGGTTCTATCTTCACTCTAAAGGTGGTTCTGATCTAAAAATGAAAATTCAAATGAGCCTGTTTTAACAAACACTTGCTAATTTCCTTAGCAGATGTTTTTTTTTTCTTGGCTGTGAAAACTTCAGTTTTTGGTGTAGCGTAAAGAAGCAAAATACTTTGTTAAATCCGTGTCTTATGTAATTAGAAACGCAAAGCTGCTCAGATGTCTGAGTCTAACGGAAGGCGTACAATGAAACACAGTAATCCAACTATATAACATTGTTTCGTTTGTAAAGTTCATTCATCACCTTTCTTATGGGCTTAGTGTAAATGGTACATTAAAATGTTGCAGACAAGATGAGGTTGAGCTTACGTTTGTTTGTGGAGTCTGTAGTGAAAGGGAGAGGATTTGGGGATACCAGCAGCCCCCACAGTTTGCACAACAGCACACCAAACACAGCCACTGCCAGACCCTTGTGCTGCGTATGGTCCAGGAAGTTGACCGGACTGCAAAGTAAAGCAACAGGTGTTTAGTGCCAACATTTCACCAGACTAATATGTTAATTGGAGGCTTTTTTAACAAGACATTTCAAAACCAAGTGTCTGTATCGTGTAATGTTCTCTAAGTTAGAATAGGACTACATACTGTAAACGTCAGGTCTATTTTGGAGTTTTCTATAGCAGGAAAATTCACATTTAAACCTTTGAACTAAGTCAAAATGCAATAAATAAATAAAAAATCTGATTTTTCTAAGCATTAAACTGTGCGCAGAGGTTAACTGCACAGACACCTACATTACAGGTGAGAAAATTATAATACATATCTAGCAGTTTATGTGTTTGAACATTAAAGTAAATGTCCAGAATTGTAATTTTCAAGTGCTATAAATATCAGTGCATAAATAAGAGTCAAACCAATTTTAATTATGTGCTCTACATGCAGGAGACATATTTCAGACTGAACTTATTTATGCTAAGTGATTTACAGTAAGGGGTTGCTTAGTGGTTATCCTGAGTAAAACCCTGAATAAAAATGCATGGATCACAGTTTCAACCAAGCAGCTATGATTTACATATGGGGCCTACATGCATTTTACATTGGGTTAATTGGTTAAATTTGTGTGAACTGCCATAAAATTAAGGATAACAAATAATGGCTCATTTGGATAATTTTCTTTTAATGTCCTGTTGGAACCAATATGACCCTACAGAGAGCCCACTTGGGTTGTGTTCCATGCAAAAAGCCATTTCAAATAGCCAAATCACCCTGTTTATGCAGTACAGATAATTACTAGGATATATTATTTTCATTAAAATGTATTCAAACATCAGAATAACATGTTCACATAAAAAGCTGTACAGAAAAAAGTAAAAAAAAAAATATATCAAAGGTGCTAATGAACATTTTAAAGCTGCAATAATCAATCAATCACACATGGCAGCTATACTAGATACTAAATTTAAGCCTGGGAGATTTTAAGAAATTGGACTTTGGGAGACATCTTTTTAAGTATCCAACTAGAAATAATTAAGTACATCCACTAAATAGGAAGAGAATTAAACTATAATTTATGATCACATTTATTTATAATAGTGAAATATTCCCCCATGTTTGTTTGCTGAAACACTGAAAGAACATTTTTAAGAGCTGAGGTCATAAGTTACTCTGCTAATGGTTGAGAAACACAATTTGGATGACAATAATGATTAATCAATAGATAAAATGGAATTCTCCCTTAAAAATGCAAGATTTATGTCTGATGATTATTTGCTAAAATCAAATATGGCTGCCCTACAAATCGATTACGATTTTTTGTTAAAAAAGATTTTTCTCTGGAAGAGGGAAGTGATAGTTGCAGGCTATTAGTGCTAGGAGTAGTTAGCATCACAAAAATGAGAAATTTAAAACTAGTTTTACTAACTGCATCTAAAATACACTTTACTTACTTAAATCAAAATCAGTCCAACTTTCTTACTTTAATTTTGAATTTAGGGTCTGTTTGTGTCATTTTAACTAGGAAGCCAAAAATATCCAACTTCTTAGTATAAAGAAAACTAATAAAACTTAAAGAAGCAATAAGTAATAATGACACCTAGTGTTTCTGATAGGAATAAGCTTTTAAACATATGGTGCCCGCTCCTTCTCAGCTGCCGTGAGTGTTGTGCAGGTTGCCAAGTCAAAAAAGACAAGGATGTGGTTTCTCTAAAGTCAAGATAATTGACTCACAGTAAGTTGTCGTCTTAATACTGTTGAAGGATGCTGAGGCTTCTTAGGTGTCTCTGTTACAGGCTGTTGCACTTTTACCACCATGAATTATATAAATGATACTCTCTGTTTTGGCAAACCTGATATGATTGGCTCAGAAACCAGGAAGTAAACAAGGGCTACAAACCACACAAAAGTAGTTCAACATAGTACCATTAGACTTTGTTGATGAAGAGAACTTATGTTTTTTGGGGGGAAATGTTTTTCCATTGCCAGTGACAAATGAGAGTGATTTTAATTAACTTTACATATTTCTCCTTTAGCGTTATTAATAGTCTCAGATAAATCTTAAAACTTGGTGGACATATTTTCAGTAAAAAAATAAAAATAAAAACTCCTAACATTAATAATTTTGCTGGTTAGTTGGCCATCTGGATTTATGTGATTTCCACTCTTTTAATTTACTGCTGTTTGCTCGAACACCAGATTAGTTTGAGCTGCCTAAAATGTCTTTTAGGAAAAGTGAAAACACAACTGAAAGCAAAATAAACATTCATGTCCACTCCTGATTTATGATGCGACAAGTGAACTAATAAACAATTTGATATCTGACAAACAAAACAACTTTTACTACCAAATGGCCTCTAAATGGGGTTTTCCCTATCTAAACAAACCTGTTTACTTTCTATGCTTTATACTATTCGGAAGTCTTCTAGGCCAATAGAAAAGAAAGCCCCTGAAAAGAAATATGACAGCAAACCACTTATTTGAGTAAAAACCTAAATGATACTCACCTAAGTAAACCGGGGAGCCCTTTCTGTCTGTTGCCCGCCTTTCTACGTCTGGCCAGGATGGCTAGAATTAGCATTATGGCCAACTGAAAGAACAGACATCACAGTTAGCTTCAGCTGCAGAGCACCATGCAGTGCCATGCAACAAAAGGCTTAACCTCAGCCTCATTAGTGCTCCCTATAGATGTGGTCTGAGCAAAGTGTCATTTGTCAGGATGACCAGTCACTGAAGGGGGTTCAACGACCTTTCTGACCTATGACACGTTTAGGAAACGCTGGGCTGGGAAGAATGTTTTGCTTTTAATTGAGGCAGTTTAGCGTGATGCTCTCTAAAGAAAACAAAGTACCATCACATGGGAACAGAGAGAGAAATCTGAGGAGAATAAAAGCACGACTTAAGATGGTAGACATTGTATGCAGTTCATCTAATTCTTCCTTTTGCATTTTACCAGTTTAACACAAATATGTGAAGTTTATTTTACTATGTGATTTCTTTACCCAATTAAAGCATGTATGACTTTTATTAAGATGCTTTTTTTGCCCATGTGCAGACAAATAGGACCATGTTTTGGGCAAAGTCTATAATTCAGGAAGTTAAGTGCCTGTCTTTGTGTAACCTCGTTAAGCATGTAAGTGAGATACTGTTAGAGAGAACAGAACCAACACTATACTTACTGAAATTGCTGTGATGGATATATGATAGAGCATGTCATCTGCCGTAGGGTTACATGGTGGGATAGTTCTAAACAAAAAGACAAATTAATTATACATTATTAAGGAAGAAAAAATGAGGCCCTTCGATAAAAGGATTTGAGTTCCTAAGCTGACCTTTGGTGTACCTGCTAAATGTTTCACATGTTTCAGGGTCATTTGTAGCTGAAACCTGGTGGTCAAAGTCTCAGAGCGGAGATTTGGATTTAAAGGGATTTTATTGAGTGTGACAAAGAAAACAAGAAAATCCTTCAATCATGCTGCTGTACAATAAGGGGCAGGGACGCAGTGTTCACTGGACTGTTCTAAAAAACATCAAAAATGTCAAACTTTCTGCCATTTACTGACATTTTATATATATATATATATATATATGTATATATATATATATATATGTATATATATATATATATATATATATATATATATATATATTATTTCTACACTTGTAATCTTTTTTTCAAATCGTGCTATTTTTTTTTATGAAATGATGAACTGGCCGTTCTCACACATGAAAACCCTAAAGCATTCTGTTCCCGATCTGTTTTGGATAAAGCTCTCTAGCGGAAAGTTTAACCTTATACCAGGCTTAAGTTTTTTGCTGTCTTAAATAGTTTTTTTTTTTTATCTTTTACCACTGACTAGTGCTTCACTCCACTAATCTTTTTGCTGACTTTGATCAGAATCCGTGCTCTTGCTGACTAAAAGCATCCCCACAGCATGATGCCACCACCACTATGTTTGATGGTGGGGTTTCGTGCAAAAGTTGGCTTCATTCTTGGTGTCCTCCATAAGACCAAATTAGAGCTCAAGTCATAAATGTCCTGAAGATCTTCCTTCCTATTTTGTTGATCTCTGAGGTTTCCTCCATGGGAAGACAATGTTTTGGCAGATTCAAAGTCATAATCTTATATCATAGTCTTAGATATAAGACACCTAAACGTTTGGTAAGTAATGTATTAACCTCACTTTGCTTTAAACATCCATTGTATTCCTTGGTATTAAGATGCTGTTTGTTCATTAATGTTTTCTAAAAAAAAAAAAAAAAAGGCAGTGGCTCTCACAGTTGGACTCTTAAGACATTTGGTTTTAAAGGACTTTATTAGGGGGTATCAGACAAAAGGGGGGAGGTTTGGGGGCGGGAAAAAATATCTGTTGCATATAAATATATTTACAAAAAGTTATATATCTGCAGAAAGAAACATGTTGAAACTCTACCTTAAGGCCAAAAGGAAACACAGTTTTATTGATAAAGAAAATATGAAAATGTGCATCTATAGATCCATTGTTGACTAATTAATGGTTACAGTAATCAAAACACCTTAAAGGGCTTCACTTGTGCCACCAAAGCCTATAACTTAAATGTTTTATGAACAAAACATTTAGTTCTGTACCAGTTATGTTTCTCTGATAACATTTGGGTTAATAACCTAAAATAGAAAGACGTTGGATTTAAATAAGTGGGAGTTGACCCTAAATGTGCAATGCTGTGACATTATGCTGTAAGGAACTATTGAAATCCATACTGAAATTTGCCTCTGCCTTTCTTGGTAAATTACATTAAGGTGTTTCTTAAACTTTTAAGCATTTTGGTTAAAAGATTCAGACAACAAATGTCCTCATTAACCTGCCAGCTACAAATTTGAAAAAGATATAGGACAGACATGATGAAATGAATCTGGATCACACTCTGACATTGTCCCAGCAGAAGTGTGTTATGAGTCACCTAATATCTCAGTGAGAGGTGTATCTCAAAGCTAACTCCAAACAAAAGGCTGGGAAACTACCACTCAACATTTAACAGGAGGACAGACACAGTTTAATTTGATGTAGAAAATAATAAAAGGAAAAGCATTTTCATATAAAACTTTTCATACTTACTCTGGTTCCATTTTGGTTGGCAGCGGATCCAGATCCGGATACTCGTAGTCCAGGAGAGCATCCTTATCCATTGTGCAGTCTCTCTTTCAAACAGATCCTGTTACCAAGAACTTGGAAAACTGTCCACAGTCTCTAGAGACACAACGCTGTGATCCCCCTGCCTCAAGGGGGTGAAAGTATCTCCTAAGTCCTACGTTGGCCTTTGCCGCGGCTGCTGTTGCTGCACAGGCGTCCTTGTTCCCCTGTGTTTGGTCTACTCTCACTCAGACTCCACTACCCTCTTTCACAGCCTGTGTTCAGGTGCCCTCGTCCCACTCTGGTACTGAGTATAAAGTGACAAGTCCCAGCTGCTGCCTGTTGCCTCCACCCTTCTTTAAGGCCCTGTTTCAGCTTAGGGTTACCAGCAGCAAACCAGGAGCCTGCAGAAAAGAGTAGAGAGGGGGGCAAAAGTGAGAGAGGAGGGAGAAATGTGGAGAACTGGGCAGCCAATCTGGAAGGCCACCCGTGTCTTAGGATTACATCTACTTTATAAACTCCACTGCTGTACCTGTTGCTTGTGGTTGAAGTGATCGACTGTGCTGGATTATAAAACTCCAGCTATGACTGTGTGGGTAGCTGCAAGCGCTGGGTCAATTTTATCAGAGCCGTTGGGAATACCAGGCTGATAACAGGGAAATTTAACTGTTGTTCCTGATTGTCATGGCACAGGTTTATTTACTAAAAGGTTATCCTGACCTAATCGTGGTGACTCACCAACAGAACATGGAATACAGCAGAAAAGAGGGGAATGTGTTTAGATCAGAGGAAGTTCTCCCAACAGGTGTTATCTCTTCACTCTCAGCTTGATAAGAATCAAGGGTTTATTCACTCAGTACTTTGCCATTTGCAGATAAAGAAAGATACTGTTGTCAGGACACAGTGTTTTGAACAAATATCTAGACCAAAAGAGCTTTTACAAATTATGTAACATTATAAAACGTGTGTGTCTACAGTTGGAGTTCAGTTGCCAACAGCTTTGCATTGTTGTAAGGTGAAATGGAAACTATTTTATAGAACTTCCAATAAAAGACATTTATTCCCACCCATCTTAGTCACTTTGTGGGGGGAAGCGAGTGAGACAAGTGTAACAATAAACCAAAGTATATACTCACTTCTTTGTAAAATAGATTAACTTGTTAAGAGTAGGTGGGAAGCAGCTTTGATAACACATTTTCAAGTAAGGGCAAAGATTCCTTTGTGCACTCTGACACATGTTTGGATCTAAACCGTTCCACTGATGTAGACTTAGACAGACTTAGACAACTTAGACACTGCTGCTCTACTTTAATTTTTAGGTTTACTGTCCTATCAGCAGCTAAAATTCTACTTCTTTACAGTATTTAACAGCTTGTAGCTACACCCATCTTCTCATTAAGTCTGACCAATCTCACTGTCATAGAAGATATCCTGAAGCATAATGCTGCCCCGACCATGTTTCACTAAAGAGATGGTTTCTTTTGTGCAGTGTTAGTATGCTGCCCTGCGCAGACATTTCCAGTTGGACAAAAGAATGTTTCCTGTATTCTATACATGGCTTAAGGCAAATGGTAAACCCTCTCATGTAACAATGGCTTTCTTTTTAACCACATAAAAAAATTATTGTTATTCTGATGAAAAAACTTTTCCCCTTTTTTCCAAATCATAGAATATTGTTAAATTAGAAAACTTTATTTTAAATTCAGCACAACTTTGATCAACTATTGTCCATTCCGTCAGGATATTTGTTCACAAAAGTCCTCTAGTGAACTAAACTCTTTTTTTTCTAATAAGGGTCACTCCTAAAGCCAGTAGGTTTTATATGAAGAGTTTAGAGTAAAGGGATTCAGTGCATATATTTATGTTCACATCACAGTTTTTAGCCTTTATCTTTTTTGATATTTTTTATTTTATTACATAGAAAATTGTTCCAGGTAATGATTATGCACTACTCTGTATTTGTAAAGTACTTGTGAATAGAAGTGTCAAAAGTATTAAGCTTTTAACTCAAATAAAAATGTAAAAGTACCCTTTTTAAAACTACTTAAATAATAAAAGTAAATGTTATGCATCAAAAAATGTTAAGGACAGAGACTTTTAACCTTGTACTGGTTACTGCGGAAATGTATTTTATTATCCAGAATTGTAGAAAATGTTCTAAAATACTGATTAATAACTTCCTGATACTTGCAACATTGTCAAACTTAACTTTGTCAAACTTAACTTTGCATCATCTTGAACAACTATTAATTTTGGTGCAGTAGCGTGTCCAACCACAAAGAAATGAATTGTGTAGATGAAACAAATTATTTTAATGGCTTTTATTTTATTTTATTTTTTTATAATAACAAGCCATAGCGATAATGAGATTAAATGTAACAAACTAACGAGTCTATTTTCAAAATGTAAATATTAGAAAGTGGAGATAATTGCAAAAAAGTTGTCTAAAAAATAATTACTCCAGTAAAGTATAGATAACCAAAATTTCTACTTAAGTAAGGCAACAAAGTATTTATGGATTTCTTACTTGACCCCTCTGCTTGTGAGTGTAAATTAAAATGTACAAATGGTATAAATACGTTTAAAAGGCAATGCATTCTGCAATCTTATAGCTGGGAATGGAGGAACTCATAGATCCTGCTGCATTGCCAACATTTCTACTTGCATACCGGTACATTGTCAATTAAGAGACAAAACACTGGTATGCAGTAAGTACTTGATGATGTCCATTTGTTCCATATATTTAAAGAAATATACTTTTGCATCTTTCAACCAGCATAGGCATGCAAACACATAAATAATTAAACCTTAACTTATCTGACTGAGGGCGTTGAAAAGAAAAATCACTCTGTATGTTGTAAGCTCCAGTTTTACTGTATACACACCAATAAAACATCCTGATCTTCATATTGATAATCATGAGCAATTAAGATAATGCACTATCCTTCCAGCTCTTACATAAATATGTTATGGTTCTGCCCTTGTGGTCTTCTGTTTGAGTTTCTTTTTAAGTTTTCAGTTCCACTTTTGATTTATGTTAATCTGTGTTTACTTGTTTATTGGTTTCTTTTCCATTTTGTGTTAAATTTGTAGGCAGTTTTGTGTTTCTTGAGTTACTCTCTGTTGCTTCCTTGTGCCTGTTTCCTTTCCCTTTGGCTCCCTTCTAGTTAGTTCTTTCCACACCTGCCCCATATCATCTCATTAGCCCTTTCTTTGTTCTGTTTCCCCATATATACGCCACCTCTGCAGTTCCTCATTGCTGGTTTCTTGTTGCTTCATTGCTTGCTCCTCATGTGTTGTTTCTCCCAAGCATCTCCCGATTTTTAGTTTCCTTTTCTTGTTCTGGATTTTTTTTTTATCCGTTTCATGTGGAACCTTATTAAATGAGCAAAACTCAACTCTGCCTTGTCATCTCTGCATTTGGGTCCTCAAAAACCTCGACAAAATAAGGATCTGATGAGATCACTTCTTCCTGCTTCTCCCTCTTGCTCTAAATTCAAGAGTTTGGGGGGGCGTCCTGTAGTATCGCAATTAAAACTTTAGAAGTTTAAACTGTGAAAACTTGAACTCAATGCAGAAATTGGACCCTTAAGAAACTGAGATGGTTTTGACATAAAAATCTAGTTCAGTATCTGAGCCAGAAGACCAAACATTTACTTTGCAAACAAAGTTATTAAAATTATTTGTGGGAGAAAGGACTGAAAGCTTCAAATTAGTAAAATTGACCTTGTTTTTTTGTTTTTTTTTTTGTTTTAAGTTTTAAAAAAGGAATATATTGAAAACAAGATCTTTGTTACAAAAATTATTTTCCAACAAATTCTATTCATATTGTACAGTAGGAGACTTTGCCCAATCCACACAACACTGAGGCATAAATCTTGAACTCATTTGTATAAAATGTGACATTTACAGTAATCATCTTCCCTAAACTCATTAATATGCTTCAATCTGAATCACTTCATAGTTAGCTCTAGCGTGAACTCCAGATTATCGTCAGTGCTTAAGGAATCCTAAACCATCTTCACACATGATTAGCTTTAAAGGTATATTTTGGAGAATTTTCCTGAATTTTTCCAAAGACCCGCTCTCTCCAGTTTTAATGCACATGCACAACCCTGTACCCACTCCTGAGAGGGAACATCTATTAAACGAGTGTGAGAGCATGCATAAGCCCATTGCTATTTGTTTTACTAGCAGTGATGTGAAATGGATTCCTTCAGATAACATACCAAACTTTCGAGTAGAAACTTTGCAACCATGGCATCAGTGGGAAGCCTGACCTGTGCTTTCAGTGTACGGCATCACGTGAAAGAATCTCCTAAAAACACTCTGGTCTTGCTTCTCTCTTCTTAGGCCTTTCTTTTCTTTTCATACACTTCGTAGACACATTTTCTCTTACAGCCCTCAGCCCATTTCAAAGAACCGCCTTGAGAAAGATGAGCTTCAATGACTGAAACGGTAGCTTACCATAGATATACACTTGAAAGAGCTCATGCGCAATTAAGTGGACTACTAGTTTAGATGATTCACTTGGAAAAAGAACAACCTCCCATATACCCTTAAACATCCTCCAAACATTTCAGACCAATTTCTCATTTCAAGCTAAAGTGCTGCCACAGTCAGATCCTGCAACCACCATGTTCTACTGCAGGGATGATGTGTTTAGGGTTATGTATTTTTATACATTAGTTTCAACCAGTCAGAGCAGTGACAAACTGCATATGATAATTTTTTTAACAAACTATAACTTTCAAACTTATCGTTCCAACTCAAGATTATTGTATAGTGTTTTGTGTTGGTCGGTTAAGAAACAAATTCAATACAACTCAAAGATGTATGTGGAGTTTGTGTTTGCAGTTTGGTAAAATAAGAAAGGGATCCTTGATATTGAGACAGAGCATTACCTGTCAACAGATTTGTACTTATTCCAAAAATATGCTTTATAACTTTAATCACAACCAGACCAGGTGACAAGATTACAGTTACCTAACACCAAAAATGCAATAAAATGTCTCTACTTTAACTCTGATGAGAAAATAGCAGAGCGGCCCACCAAATAAAGGGGTCACTGAACAAAGAATGCTTTGAACAGTTATATCACAGAGAGCTGGTTTGATTGAGTAAGACACTTGTATCAGGTTTAGGAAGTTGACTCAAAAGCCTTTTTTTGGAAGGAGCCATGTTAAGTACTTGTAAAAACAGAATATAATTGAGCTACTGACTGACTAATCCATTTTTAACAATGTAAACATGAACAGCAGCAGCACAGACAAATCATGCATTAACAAACTAATCAAAGAAAATATGTCCAGAGCTTCCTCCCATGTCATTAAACAACTGGTTTGTTTAAGTGCAGAATAAACATTTATTAAAATAAATGAATTTATCATTTGTGTATATTTTTGTGTTTATTATAGAAAACTGTAATAAAAAAAACTTCAAAAAAACCTAATGGGTCAAAATTAAAGATAGTAAGTTGAAATATAAAAGGTCTTTTTTCATGCGGTCAAGGTTGGATATTATATAAGTTAGTCAGCTTTTCTTTTCAGGGATATAAAAGCAAAAGAAAAAAAAAAATCACATCCGAAAAGAAGTCTAAAAACTGGCTCTAGTTTGATAAACTGGGTGAAGGAAAAAATGCACAGAGACAAGAGGCAGAAATAATGCAAAAGGAAAAAAAAAATTCAAATACCCAAGTTAAAAGTTGAACAATCCAAGAGGGAAAATCATATAGGAAAACTCCTAAAACAAAGGTGAAACCAGGTAGCCTACAAGGAGGAATAACAACAGCATGAACCAGCAGTTACTAAAAAAACCAAAGGGGAGTACAGAATACAGAGGTGATCAGTGAAACAAGAGACAGGTGGGAGGAAGTGCGAGGACCAGAGAACAGAGGCAGTCTAACAGAATGAATGGCAGAACAGAACCTAAACACAGACGCTACAAAACATTAGACAAACAGAACATGACCCAACAGGAGAAAGACTCAAATCACAAAACCAACCGGAGAATGGAAAACTTAAATAGGAGGTAAAAAAAACAAACAGAAGGAAACTGACCAAAAAACCAAACAAAGAAGCTGTTAATGATAATCGTTGTACCTACAGACTATAACTCTAAAACTAAAATATGTAACAGGATAAATACGGTTGAATGTATCCTAACAGGCAACTTTTTAAATACTACTTAAAAGCTACACTGAAGAACCAGCAAAGACCAAATACTACATCTGTAGGAGGCCCCCTCTTTATTTCATACACCCCAAAAGTTAGGTCTTACATAATTTCTCAAAAAACAAATGAAGGCAAACCAGAACAAAGGCAACCAACAGCAGATGTGGTTGTTGTTAAGCCAATAAAGATAGGACTGTACTATCAAAAAATTGGCAAAGAATTGTATTTGTTTTGGCCGAGCTTTGATGACACAAAAAAGTGGAAATCCACAAAGGCCACAGAAGCACCATGGACTAACTTTACACAGGCAAAAGAAAAAATGTTCCAGGTAAAATCCTTAAAGGAATAGTACACCCAAAACATGATTAGCCTTCATTTTCTACTCACCCC